CAAAATATCTTGATTAATTCCAGACTTTCAAAACACAGCAGCGGAAACTTAAATAATTCACATGCATTCGTGCGTAGAAAAATTCTGACCTCAGCTCCGATTTATTTAGGGTATTCATACGTATAGAAGTTTCCATAGTCAAAAATATTAAAACACATAGTTTAACGTTCAGCAGATCATAACCTACTTCTAATTCTGTCCTTAATCCTGACTAAAACTACTTGATGTGATGCTAATGTTAGCAGCTGCAATTTCCCATGAAAATTGCATTTGAAGATGAAATTAGAAGCAGTCATGCTCCAAGGTAAAGATGAGTTGGAAAGAAAAGCTGTACCTTCAAGTACTGCTAATTCAGTACATACAGAGATGGAGGAGGAAGGGAAGGAGCTATCATACTCTCTGTTAAGACTGCAAATAAGTGGATAATGCTTGGTAACAGCCCTTCATTCCCTATTCCCAGCGAGGTATTTTGTTCCTTTGTACATACGCTTGCAGTAGTGGAATCCTTGTAGCCCTCTTTATGTTTCAGACCACAGGCACTGTATGTTTTTTTTACTTTCTCAGATTTGTAACAATGCTATAGCAATAAAATCAAAGAAATGCTGTGAGACCAAGCATAAGGACTGCATTTTGGTTAGCAAAGGTTTCATTATTTTCTTTGTTTTTATGTAAAGAAACCAGCGACTACTATGTGACTTCTGACCTGCCATGAATTTGACAAACACTAAAAATTGTGTATTACAGTAGAAAAATGCATATGGTAAAGAAGCATGTTTTAGTCCAAATCAAAGAGACATCATACTGTGTATCAACGTGTGTACAAACCACTCAGAGAACCTTACTGCTTTAACAGCTTGTCCTTTTCAACAAACAGTTAATAAATAATGAAGCATTGCTTTCAAAAATCACCCACTTCGTTTTTGCCAGAAGTCTGAGCTGCATGACAGCAACTTCTAATACCTTTGTAGTTATGTAGTGATGTAATTTGGCTCGCAAGTTGGGACATTTTCCTGCCTAAGCAAAAAAAAAAAAGCGATGAATGAGATCAGATTTAGTGGAAGTAAAACTGCCTGATCATTCAGCTGTGTCCGTAAGTTATTCATGCATGAATACAAAGCGCATCAGAATTTCAAAGAAGTGACATAGGATTTAGGGAAGGTGAAGCACAAATGGAGAGAGAGAAAGCCAAGGGATGACAGTATGAAGCAGAGGCAAACTGTAAGCGTATTGCTGTAATGTTGATATCTACTTTCTGGATTAAAAAATAGTTATTAATAACTAAAAACCAATCCAAATCTGTATGAAAGGGAAGATAAAGCAAGGAATTACTTTGTGGGAGTAGGAGGCAACAGAAAGGTTTTCTGTGAATGAGTTGTGGCCAAATGTTGTATACATACAGTACCCTTTGCCCCTGTGCCCCCCTATTTTTTTGGGTGGAGGAGGCAGGGTGACGAGTGGACCTTACATTGAGACATTACAGGCTTGGAGAAGCTTTCTTATGCATGAAGTAGGTTTAAAGTAGCTAGCAAGGCGGTGAAGGCTTATTTTGGTAAAGGTTCTTTAGTTCATGCACAGGTACTAACTTCTGCATCATCCAGTCAAATTTTATCAACTGTAGTTCTCAGAGGTGCAGTCTGGGAAAGGACTGATGAATGCTGTCCAATCCCTTGTTATAAATATATAATAAAATCAGTTGCATAGCATGCTTATGTTTGAATATCATGGAGCCATAGTAATTTGTGATGAATTTTCTTTTCTGTTGCAGATATGATCCTAGCGTGAAAAGGAGAAGATAAATTGTCACTTGAAGTTACAGTGATTCTCTAGCAAAATTTACTGTCCTATTCTGTAAATGTTTGCTGATGACAGCGTGTAATACATAGTTGCATATGGCGATTCAAGTTCCTTGTTACAGTAAGACTTGTTTGTATATCTTGCTTTTATTAAAGAAAAAGAGAAGTTTCTTTCATTGCTTGGTGCTTATGGATAGCACGTGTTAAAGTCTTGAAAATTGCTTTAGAGCAGTGCTCAGTAAAATATCATATCTATTTAGGATTTCATTTCAGGCTGTTTCTTGTCAGTACTATTACGGGGAGAAAAAAATAAAAGGAAGCGAGCACCAGGCTTTTTTCTTTTTAGACAGGCATTGTTAATTAAATAGATTTTTGTATATAGTGACTTTTTTCTTGAGGACTTTATGAAGTTTTTGAAGACTTCGTAAACAAGACATTAATAAGCTACACTGAGCTTTGAATTTGTGCCTGAATAGACAATAAATATTTAATGTTAATAAGCTCCAACTTCTTCCCATTTTTGAAGTTGGTAACAAATTTATTTCTAGCTAACCACCAATTCTATGTGATGGCAGATACTGGAACAAATATTTGTTTTTAAAACTCAGTGGGTTTTGTCCCATTGTCAGTCATCAATATTTGTTTGAACAGCCTACAGCTAGACTAGAAATGGTCTTAAAAACGCAGAAAAATTTTGCAATAGCAACAAGCAGTGTATTTCCTTTAGAGAAAGGAGAGAGGCAAGTATAGTTTCTGCTTATTTCCTTTCCTTTGCAAATAAGGACAGAGCTGTGTTTGAAAATGGCTATTGAGGAACAATTTGTGTTACGAAAGTCTAAAAGCTACATGATGACAGTCATCAACTTGTGAGAGTTTGTGTACTTTTCCTTTAGTATTACATGAAAAGCAGCCTTCTGTGCTCCTGAAGTGTAAGTTTAGATATAATGTCATCTCATAACACTGTAACTTGTGTTCATTTGCATTGAGTCTCAATTGAGAGGGGGACAGACTGGATTTGGTGGGTTCCAGGAGTCCAAAGAGAAAAACACAATTAAACTTAGTGGTTCAGGGAATTGGATGTCCACCCAGGACTAACTGATAAATGCAAGGTCCTGTTCGTTTACATCCAATGGCCATGGCCACCATTGCCATGAACTTGGTCATAACTCCTTAATTGTTTTGTTTTCTTGACTAATCAAGACATTTTTTTCAAGACTCTGTTTGTAGAGACTTTTCCCTGATGTTTAGGATTGGATGAGCTCTTCTCCCCTTCTTTAAACTGGTTCTCTGGCAGGGGGAGAAGTTTACTCTGCAAATAAAAGAATAAAAACTTGTAAAATCCAGATCTAGGAGTGGCAGAGAAGCCAATTGAATGACGTTGCTATGGGAAATTATGTTAATTATCCCATCTTGACGAGGTGAGCTGGGCTATTTGAAGCCACTATGTCGTGTCAATTTGAGGAACAGAATCTTGAAATCTCTGCATGTCGACAGCAATTATCGTGAAGTCAACCCGCTTACATGGTACCAGACAAAAAATACTTTGTCCTCAGAAAAAGTCTTTCATCAGGCTTTTCTTGACAGTCTTGCTGCTTAGTCAGGGATGTCCAAAATGGTACACAAATCACAAAGGTAAACAAATTCTGGATTCAGCAATGAGGGGGTTTTGGTATTGTGATGTTTATCACCATAGGGTCAATTTCTGTCCACCCACCACCTTTATAAAGACTGTTCTTCAGCTGTTGAGGTAGTTCCTGGAGGACTGGAGCTGTACTTACTGCTGTTTGCTGTACTTTCAGGGTGAGTTTTTGTACCATCAGAACCTCTGTGTTTTCCTGTGAAAACCCACTGCTCCGACAGACAGCCATTGCAGACTGCTGAGAATAACATTTTTGATAGTTGTTACTCAACTCAAGCAAAGAGCTCAGCAGAATATCAACGGAGAAGATCCTTCAGAATGATTATTTACTATCTTTTTTTTTTTTTTTTTTTTAAAAAAGGCAGAACATTTCATCTGAGAAATGCTTGAAACATATGATGTACATGACCCTGTAAAAACTAAGACCTTTGCAATTTGCACTGTATTCTGCTGGAGTTCAAACCACCCCGGGGCATACCTGTGACCACTCATACATTATACTCTTCAAATCCAATTCCCCAGAGAGATGAATCAGCAGTTTTTATATTCATTTTCAGTTATTTAGTGACAGAAGACCACCAGACTCAGACATCATCTGGTGAACTAGGGGGTGGCATCCCTGCCCATGGCAGGGAGGGTGGAACTAAGTGGTCTTTGAGGTTCCTTCCAACCCCAGCCATTCTATGACTTCATGAGCACCTGGGTCTTCATAAATCTTGAAATGTCTCCTTTTGTGCCAACATTTCCAACATCCAGTTTCTTTCAGTCTTTCACAGACAGCTGTGAAACTGCTTTTGTACTGGGAAGGCAGTCATGGGACTATTCCTCATTTCTTCCCTTGACATTAGAAGCTACTGCTCCCTAGCGGCTGCTGGTCTCTCCTTGGAGAGGTCCTTCCCTTGCACACATTTCCTTTATTTCCCTGCATGACATCTATGTACAGAGTGACTTCTGAACACTACACATTTACTGAGTAGTCTGCAGTTCAGAGTTGCTGCTGCCTGCTTTGTATTTGTGTGCCCCGTGGTTTCAACAGTCAGCTCACCGCACTGCTTAAGGAAGTTGTATGGTGTTGACTTTCTTTAGAAGATTAAAACAAAAGTTCAGTAACTCAGACATCTAAGGTTTCTCTAATCTACTTCAAACCACAGTGTGCAAGTACACCCACATCTTTTTGACAAAAGGCTGTTCTTTATCTAAAAATAAATCTAAGCAGAAGCTTTATCTGCAGATCTTGTTTCTTGTATTTCTGTGTAACAAACATTGAGGCTGTGTGGGGACTGCTTTTTTTTTTTTAGTACCATGTATTATTTTTGTTCATGCTGCTCACAGGAAGGAGATGCACACAATATACAAACTAAATATACTTTTTATTAGCAAGGCTTTTAAAGTACAGTCTTGCATCCATCAGCTTAGCTGAACAGTTTCAAGCAGGTTGTATTACTTCATGCACCACTGGAAGAGAGGACAGATGCTGTTTCTGTACAGAAACACCATCCTCAGCTTTAGCTTGCATCAGTTTCAGCTGACTTCCTGTCTTTCCCCCATCAGCTGGGGAAGCTATGGTATTTTTTTTCTTTTACAGGACTACCAATATATTTTCCTTCTCACTGCTGAAGATTATGCTCTATTTTTGACCTCTCACACCAATGAGAATCCTCCCAGCTTTCATTGTACACTTTAACTAGAGTCTTCTCTTAGGGCTGGTGCAGCAGGGTGGGTGGCAGGGCTGGCCTCTTCTGTGTCATTGCACTAATTCCTGTAATCTAAAAAAGCATTTGTCATCAGCTTCAGTGTCCTGTCTGCTGACCTCCAGTCCTTCACCACGTTCCACATGTAGAAGCCTCTACACCAACTTCACCTGGTACATCAGTTATAAGATCTACCCCCACCCAGATCTCCTAGCATCAATCCGTTCTGTAAAGAAAGCTTTTTGTGCTTGATGATTAAACTGTCTCTTCCCCATCACTTTCCCTCCCATACAACTTCCCCTTCTCTTGCTCCATTCAAGTTCCTGAATCTACCCACAACCACATTTGGCCACTCCAGTGTTTGGCTACTTCTGACTGCACCCTGTTTGTGCTGCTGTCTTCGAACCTAATCCAAACGTGGCGAAACCTGCATCAGCTGCCCGACCACTGTATTCCTCACTCCTCTTTGTACAAGTCTTTCATGACCACATACTAGTGAGGTAAATCTGATTTTTGCCAACCATTTCCCAGTCTCCCCAACCAGCAACTTGCCCTGCCACTTGCTTCAGCACTCTGCTCGCATCCTTCTGCCCCAGTTTTGACCATTGTAATCTCCCTCAAGCATCAGCTACAGCACCAGATCCATACAAGAACTTCTCTTCCCCCTTTCTGAACACAACAGCACTCTGAACGCCTTTGCCTCTCCACAGTTCCCTCCCCCCAAGAGTTCCCCACTTCTCTGGACCGGTAATTGCCTTCTTTCAGCTGAAACTCTTCCTGTATTATTCCTTTAGACTTTCATCTGTCATCAGTTTTCACACATGAAGATAAAACAAGCTTCACATGCATGCCTCTGGTAGGTGCTATCATCTAATCAAGGCTGAGGTTTTGCTCACAGTTCAAAAGGAGAATATATTTAAGCTGACAGCAGATATTCTCTACAAGTTGTTTATGCTGAACATCTGAAAAAGGGGATGACCCAAACATACTTCAGCAAAAGCAGAAATAGTGAGGCACAACACATGGAAATGTTTACTTAGTACCTCAAGCTCCAGATACATCATGTGTGAGGAAAAAAACAAGGGTGGGAGAACATAAAAGGTTAGCTCTGCATTTAGAACTGCAATTCGACAACCAGAATACCAGAACCAACAGCAATGGGCAAGGTTGGAGTACTGACTTTCCAAATTTTGCCAAGTAGATATAAGGTAACGGGATCAGTTATTGGAAAAGGGCATCTCAGTGTTCACATAGAAGCTGGTCCTAGAATTAAAAGTGAATCACTTCCCTCCGCTCAGAGCAACCTTCAGAAGTCTACCAAATCAATCATCTCCTTGTCCCTAGCTTTAGATTGTGGGCAACTTCCTTATATATCCATTAAAAAAATGGAAATACATATAATGAAATGCTGGGATTCTATACTATTTTGTGTTATGTTTTCATTGTCTTCATGCTGGCATAGAGGTCTGCAGAGGGTGTCCAGGAACAAAGCTGAATTTCAGTTTGGAGCATCCACTGTAGACAACGCAGGCTGATGTATGCACATTGCTACTGATCTCATAATGGGGAGAGAGAGGAAAAAAATGCAAATTTGATGAAATTATGATATGGATCCATAATGGATCTCCAAAACAAGTTGATTCAAAATGATAGGAGAGCTAAGAATATGAAGTCTTTTTTTTTCTCCTCTCTACTATGGTCACCAGGTTGTAAGAGTTGGGCTTAATATGCCCGATGAGCACAAAATAATCTTTGTTGGAAAGTCACCCAATATGCAGATGGGTGTAACGTGAAGTCAAGTTCAGGGTAATAAGCTTGCTTGAGCTGAAATGTTCCATAGTGCCTGCAAAGACAAAGCCATCTTTAGAAGAGTGCTTAGACTCACTGTAATTACTAAATTATATTGTATCCCAATCCTTGTTCCTTACACCAGATCTGTGGTCCCACATTTCCTAGTGCAACTCAAGCTTTGAGAATTAGCTGAACTCAACCAGCCCAGAAGTGCACCATATTCCCCAAAAGACAGTGTTGTCTTTCAGAAAAACAGGAATTCATAACGCAGCACCTAACTTCAAATTTGTCACCCCAATTGTCACCAAGGCCTTGCCTTCTGTCAAAAAAAAAAAATTGTTTCTACTAAATAGAATGTATTATGGTCATTTCAAACAAAGCATGTATTTTCTTTTGGGTCAGGCAAGAAAAGGGAGAAGTGGATATCCAAAAGACACTTTATCAGTTGAACTACTGTGCTCCCATCTTGCTCTCACCCAAAAAAACAAACAACCAAACAACAAAAAACACTGATAAAAACCATCATAGCCAGAATGTTCTAAAATATGACCTAAAATAAAACCTAACAGTATAAATCTTCCAGCATTTTTTGTTCCATAACTTTTTCAAAATGAAATCATTACTGGGTTTTATTATCCATATGTGATCAGCTGCCCTTAAGGTACATGTGTGCTACCTCATGCAGTTCAGAAGCAGCTGTGATCTAGCAGCTTTAAAGCCAAGACTCCACTATTGCATGAAAATACCAGCTTTGTTTCTCACAAATGGAAAATACGGCATTGTATCAGAGCAACCAAGACTCGTCTCTTCGCACATCACCTTTCGGATCAAGGCTTAGGGCTTCCCACATGTTGCACTTCAGCACAACCTCCCTTAGGAGCCCATTAAAAGCATATGGCAACAGGTTAGACTAACAAGTCCAGCACAACTCCAGCTCGATGTCACAGCTTGCATATCTAGACAGAAGAGGATGGGAGGAGACCAAGAGCCTATCAGTACTACAGGGGCTTGCTTTGGCACCTATAATTTTTCAGTTAATATTGATCGGGTTCTGACTGCTTTCCTGATGGTTTCTCACTGGTCATTACTTGTTATTAGAGAGGACTCAGAAGTTGATAGATCTTACACCCTTTTTCTTCTCTCTCAAGAGCAGCTTGCCTAAAAACAGGTTTTAATGAGGTAAATTCCTTTCCTCCCCTTCTATGGGCTGTGCAAGCCAGGCCTTCCTCAAAGTCTGGGCCTTGTTCAAAGCTGGAAGAAATTAAATATTCCAGTTTCCTGGCTCTTACCCTTTTTTCCTCATTCTCAAGCTACATGAAAACCTACAGCCATCTCCTTCTACAGAATTGATGTTTTTCGTTAGGCAACCATCACACTAAGAATTAATCATTAAAGAGGCACCTACACAACAGGCCATGGCTGTACCCTGACAAGCTACTGCACTGCTGAGGACCCATGGCCGTGGGATGCTCTTTGGTGTCCCTTACTCAATGTATAGGCTCTGTTTCTGGAGCCTATGCACCTGGCTCCTATGCTCTTTCTTGGCAAGCCAAGGTTGCCAGCTCCAGGCCATGCATTTACTTCAGAGCCAGAACAGGCTGACGTTGCTGTCACCTACTCCGTGGGCTGCTTGCAGAAAGGACTCCTGCACTGATTCAGCAGGGCAAAATGAAGCCATGCTTTTGTGGAAAATGCTTTAAGCACAAGTTGATCAGCTACCAGATGCCAAAAGCTGTGCAATTTCTTACCACAGTTAGGTGCCTCCATGAGGAGCTGCCCATTGTTAAACAACTACATCCTAGATGGATTGTTAGGGAAATAGACTATGACAGGCCTTAGCCCCCAGTCCAACACAGCTGGATACTAATTAAAATAATCTTAATAATTTAGTTAGGAGATGCATTCAGCATTAAGAACCAAAGTCAACTACAAAAGATATTTTCCCACACTAGCCTTTTACAAAATACACAGCATGGTTAACGTACCTTTATAAATTCTGTAAATCCAAATAAAATTCCTTTAGTTAAAAGTTACATTCTTCCCGTGTATCAGTAATAACGCTGAAGTAATAAGCATCCTTCTTATTCACACAGTATATGAAAGCTTATCTTTCTCACTGAAAGAAGAGCTGAAGGAAGCACACAGTTTCCCTGTTGGGAACTATTATAGCATAAAGGAAATTCAAATATATATATATATACACATTCTTTTTGAAATTTGAGAGAACACATTTCCCCAAAAGAGCTATCCAGTGCCAACATCTAATTCATAATAAATAGAGTAATTATCATAATGCTTTAGGTAAAACTATCTTAAGGTAAAGCTATCCTAACCAAGTTAAATTATTTTTTACGTCTTATTCTTACAGCCATACCTAAGTGGAGAGCAATGGAAACATCTCCCAGATAGTCAGAAACCCAAATGTCAGAAAGTCCAGCTGCAACTTTAAAACTAGCAATTTCTAGAAGAAACAGGATGATTTTTAGTACAGCTTCAGTCAAAAGTGATTTTATACTGGCAGACTAATAAACTCGACCACTGAGAAAATTGCTCTGCCCAGCTAACATGTCTTACTATTTTATCTCAGAGGTACTGAGAAGACTGACAAAAAGAGGAAAGCAATTAAAGCTCAAGGTATTATAATGCTGCTGGGAAAGTTACCTGTACAATGGGCTGGACAAAAATCGCTCACGTTGTTTGTTGCTGCCATGAGTACAGCCCATGAACAGCTGCAGCAGCTGAGGCTAGGGATTTGGCTGTTTGGACCTCTTCGTTCTTTGCTTCCCTTGTTTTGTTGGCATTTTGTTTCAGGTGACAAAGGGATATGCTCTAACATGCTGCAGTATGTCGTATTTAGAAATATATATTTATACAAAAACTGAAGGAATTTAATCACAGTGCAGATGTATTCCCGATATATTAACTGCCATAAAGTTCTGTAATCAAGTATTTATCACTTGCAACACCAATTCTCAGTTGAAATGATTAGGTATCACAGTTTTAAGATAGATTTATATATACATACAGTTTCTGCTAAAGAAGGCTAATTATAGAATTTCAATTCATTTATAAATAAGCCTAAGATTTAGCATAATTAAAGCCAGCTTAAATCAGTATAAGAAAATCTTAACTACTGAAAATGTATGGTTAAATTCAACCTTGTAGGCAATACAGAAAATAAAGTCTGCCTTTCTTATGTTTGCATTTATGCAATTCAGTTGGCTCTAAACTAAGATTAATCAGTAGTAGAATCATTTCATAATGACTTTTGCCCTCCACTGAAAAAAGTCATTTTAATCTTTGCATACTCAGCTTTGTCAACTATAGTCTGTGCAAGTCTGATTACCTTACTCAGACACATAAAAGCCAGCAGTAGTCACAGAACCCAGTAACTCAGTTGGCACAGAATGCAGGCATTTGTTGCATATAGGTATCTACAACTTGGGGAAAATAAGCTGGGATACCAGCAAGCACTAGTAGTTTCACAAAGTCTAAGCCTAAGACTTACTTCCTTTAAAAATCTGCTCAAGTTCTAGCATGGAGATTTTAATCATGCACATACGGTATCTTAAACTATGAGATATTCTTCAACACAGAATGAAAATGAAAACCAAATGAAAAACTAGATGTAGTACCATCTGTTCAATCACAATGGACCTGAATTAAAGTGTGTGGTAATGAATCAAAACCAAGCAATTAATCTACTGAGAGTTCTAGATGATAATTCTCTAACTGGCTGTTGCTTATCTTGCTACAGCCAATAACCCTAGAACATGTTTAGGTAAACAAAAATCCAGGCCTTACATTATGGAGCAGAAATGCAAAACTTCAGAGGTAGGTACATGTTAAACCTTTGTATTTTATAGCAAACTAGTATTTTATATGAACTATGTTTGTTTTCTTTAAGCTGGCTGCAAGTATAATCCTTTTCCATGACATTTCAAAAAAAAAAACCAAAAAAAAAACCTGCAAAGCAAAATAGTTTGTGTTATGTGCTGATCTAGGAGGAAAAAACAACCAGTACTTGGCCAAATGGGAGACACTAATAACTACCACCCACCTTCATCACTCAAGTGATCCCATTCAGTCTTCCTGAGCTAAAAGGCAAAAAATTGAAAAGCTTTCTCATGTACTTAGATTTCTTTTTCAGTAGTACACTATTCATTATATTGACACTGTAATAAGAGCACTTACATCAGTACTTTATTGTTTATGTTGATGAGTATTCTCAGAACATACACATCACTGAAGGGGAACATCTCACGTCAGTCTTTCTGCACTCACCAAAATCTAGGCATAGTGTGAAAAAACATGAATGAATCGTCAAATCATGCACTGAAGATTAAACTGGAATGCCTGTTCTTTTATTCCAATTTCCAAGTTGAATAATTTGGAACTGTTGACCAATACTTCTCTGCTTAGAGAAATCCTTTTTATAGTAAAACCATTTTACTAAGTGCTCATTCTTTCTGCGTTACTATGGCAAATAAATAAAACCCTCACTTCAAACAGAAGGCTCCAAATCTGCTTTGGGACCAAGAATCACTTTGTACTAGGAGTCTTCTGCTTTTAAAAATTATCTTAATTTCAGGATAAGAATATTTTGTCAGGTTTGACACTACAAGATAAACCCACTCTGGCATGCATTGCTTTTCCCAGAGGAAGTCTGCTCTTTCAAGCTGAGCAAGAGATGACAGGCAGGTCAATAGAAGTTAGTCTCATTTTCTGTTTCTCTGGAAGTAATTCCAGTGGAGTAGAGATCAGTTGTAACAGCAGATCACATTTTTGTATTTTGAAAAGGAAGTATAGTGGTATTAGCATCCTTTACCAAACAATACAAGTACAGGTTACTTGTATACAGAAATATGACTGCTAACAACTTTTGCTGTCAGTACTTTGTTAGACTACGTCTAATTTCGTATGTGAAAGTTTCTAAAGCCTTATTTAAGGTACCCCATCACCTCCTCCATCCCCACTTTCAATCAATTCATGTTTCTTCTTTTGTCTTATTGCCAAGCATCGTGCAATGCCCAGTGCACCTCCTTTTAAAAACCGTACAAAATTGTCTCCAACCAGAGGACCTAAAGCAAAGAGGTTTGCTTCTTTAGTGCATTCATAAGTATATGGATCAATCTCTATAGGATTCCCCTTGCATGTGATGGGCTGATTTAAGTGATGACCTATGCTATGTCCTTGGTCCTTCAGAAAGAAAAGATTTGGGTGAGAACCTATCAGAACTAAGGCTACAGAAAACTTCAGAATTTTCTTCAGTCCAGAGGCACTCTGAAGAACACATTTCATTTCAGGCTTGAAGGAAAGTACATTGTGTTCAGGGAAACTAGTGTAAGCAGAATGCAGATTAGAGTCCACAGTGTGTGACTGAGTACACATCATATGATAGACCTTATGGTATTCAGGGTAAAGCTTTTTAGGTAACTGTTTGAAAATCAGGCTTGTATCAGTAACTCTTCTACGAAACACGTGAATTACTGGGATGTTGTTGTTGTAGGCACACAGTACTGCATCAGCTGCTGTAAGTCCGGCACCCACAATTAATACAGGGTCTGCTTTCCCACGTAGCTTTCCTTTGCTGATAGCAGCCCCAAAGTCAGACATGGAATGAAGCACAAAAGGGAAGTCTTCTCCTTCAACTTGTAGTCGGCCAGGAGAATCAAAGCTTCCAGTGGCAAGAGCCACATTCTCAGCAAAGAGGCAGAAGGGCACATGAGAACCATCCGTCGCTCGCTGATAACCTCTAACTTCCCAGTTTCGCTTGATCAGTGATTTCTGTCCATCTTCCATTTCCAAATGCTGCGTTGAAATATCTTCACTAAGTTGACTTCTATTTTCATCATCCTCTCCTCGATAAAGCCTGGATACTGATGTTATATAAACATTGTCTCTGAAATTCTTCTGGAGGCCCATGACTTTAACATAGTGTTTATAATAGCAAGCAATTTCTTCTGGCATTACGCGGTCACTCTTTATATTTCTGAAACAGAATTGAATGGTTCCAGTTAATATTAACACCTTAACAGTAGTTTCAACATCATATATGATATAATACCTGACAGTCAGAGGTAAAAGGATTGAATCTGTTCAGTTTAACTACAGAGTTCAATATATTTGAACTTAGTTTTATTCGCTGTCTTGATTCCTGATATACAAGTTTCTTTTTTTTTTAAATAATCAACTCTTTTCATTGTAAAGTGCTAAGGTGATGAGCAAATTAAGCATGAATACCCTGTATCACAGTAGTCCTATGTGGAAGCGTTTTACAAAGCCAGTTTAACATCATGACCACCAACAATATAATACTGGCTAAACAGTACTCAATGACAACATACAAATTACTTAGTTACTTAAAGTAGGTGCTAACTTTGAAGTATATTGAAGAATACTTGACTCAAAAGACCTCTCCTTTTAGTACAGGTAAGTTCAGTTAAGGATCAAAATAAGTGAAATAAGTTCCATATCACAGAATTAAGTCCCACAGAAATGAAAAAAGCAAGCCTCACACAGAACCTTAATACACACGTGAATAGGATTACGATAGTCAAATGCCCAATAAAAACATTCTTGCATTGGAATCCTGGTATTACATCTATGCTTTTCATGTTTATTGCTGTATTTACAACAAATTTAAGCTGAAGGTATAATTGTTTTGAACAGTTGCATGAATTTTGCTGCTTCTTTAGAAGTAAACTCTAAGAAGCCAAAAGTAGTGAACATTGGGTAGCCACAGAATTACACTCTGAAGCATGTTTACAAGAGATTGGGTTACTTACCCTAACAGATTAACAAAACAGTAACCTGAACATTTAAAAGTACATACACTGATAAATATCTCATCAGGTTTTCAGAGAGGTTGGATGCAAGTGTGACACCTGTTTTAAGGAAACCATTTCGCACGACTACAAGTTTTAATTATCTATGTTTTTTAATACGCTTGTTTAATTGTAGTAAAACTGGTCAGCATTTCTTTTTTTAGTATTGTTGAAAATTATAATATCAACAAATTAGCTTCAGATAATAAGCAGCTTATGGGATTTCAGTTCATACGGAGGCAAGACTACTGTCATTATCTAAGAAAGCGATTAAAGAACAAAGGTACAGTTTCTCCACTGTGTTGTCCTGAAACGAGTAACAGTCTGCTCAAACACACATGCCCAATTCAAAACAACAGCTTCCTTTAATTAGAATTAAGTCAGGAAAATTGAAATTTTATGAAGAGCCTATGCACAGTTCATCTATTGACACAGGCATTTGTGAACTAATTGTATCCTTGAAGCAAAGGCCATGGAATCATACAAGACAGTATTTTTTCTTTAAAATGTTTTCCAAGGAATTTACAAGAAAATAATATTGAGAAGTAATGAATTATTCTCAACAATACAACTGATAGCAACATTTTAGATGCTGCAGATTTGTCTGTAAAGCAAAAGCTGAAAAATACTGACTTCCTGAATTACAAGAAAGCTACCGTGCAGAGCAACTTAAGTGACATCCACAGTGAAAGAGGAACTTGTGATACTTCTGTAGATTTTAAATGCCTAAAAGCTACTTACAGTAACAGCACTTATTTGAGAAATGTTGTTAAAACACAACATTGCTAGTATGTATGCTTTTGATGCACTCAAAACCATTATTCTGTCCAACCACTGTCAATTTTCTTTCGAGTGCACACAGCAGTATCATTTCTAGTGCCATCAGGCAATTAAATAAACTAAGAAAGAAGCATTCCTGTAAACAGTGAAGCTTGAATGTTTTCCAGTTCTTAAAATAGTGTTGTCTATCTTACAGCAACTGTATGTTTCCCGAATACATTATGCAGCATCTCTACCTGCGCTTGCTAGCTGCCCACTCCTTAAAGGTGAGCCCAGGAAGTTCCATCCAGTCTCCAAAACTGATTGTTAGCATAGAGCCTTCCATGGACTAAGGAAGAAAAACAAGAGGCATGACCAGATACATTTCAAACGGATACTTTTATGTAAAAGTAGAACAAGTGAAAGGGAAAATAAAAGCAAGTTATTTATAAAAACACAAAACAAGAGAAAAGCATAAAAGCAACAGGATGAATACATTAAGATTTAAGATTTTGTATAACAGCAGCTGAAAACAATATGAAAAAAGAGAATATTCTTTAGTATAATTAAATTTAAACTAATAAAAAACGTAAGACAGCAGTCATGGTGATGATTCCCAAAATTAAGGGTAATGTTTCATCTCTAACATACTTGACCTTTGGTAAATGAAATTGCCATTACCATCTAAAACAACCTTAGCAAGACAATTCCTAGACCATAAAATTATCAAGTTACCATCCAGTAATATAAAATATTTACTCACATGCCAAGCCCCACCAGGTGGTCCTTTACCAAGCACTATATGAGGAATATAATTATGTTGCTCTAGCTTCCAGTGCAAAACTGGTGGGTAGTCATACCCAAAGTCAGCATCAGGATGCAGGAGTGTATCAAAAAGCACAGCAACTGGGTTTGAAGAGCGTCCTTCGAGGCCTTCAGACAGGTACTCTAGATCCTGAAGTACAAGAGTTACAACTTTCACTGTTTATCATGCTGTTCTGATGTACAGAAATTGAATTTGATGTACGAACACCACAATTAGTTCAAGTTGCATTTTAAGTAGAAATATGTAGCGTAGAAATTAAATCAGAAGTTTTTAGAAATAACGACCATGATTCAGTTCTTCTCTAACTTTTTATATTATAGATTTCTGCCATTTGAGAATTATGTGGTAGTGCAGTAATACCAAGGCAGGTCATTATTTGAAAAATTGGGACAAACGTTCAGAGAACAGAGTAACTTAATACCATTTATATTTATAGGTAACAGACTGCTTTTAACAGAGAATTGCTAGTATTTCTAGGAGTCTCATTTTGACAAAGCAAAAAGGGAACCTAAAAACATCGTTTTAAAGATCAAGCAGAAAAGGGTCCTCTGACTGCTCGTGTAGTTCTAACAGCAAGTTTATTTTATTTTGAAATAATGGCAGTACTGGAAATACTGATTTTAAAAATTAATTAGAATTAGACTTGTTTTTACAAAGCAGTTCATCTTGAGAACTATTTCTAGAACATTCTAAAATGTTTTCATATTTCAGCATCTATTAGCCAGCCACATTTTCCTATTTAGAAACACTGTGACGCAGTGGCAAATGTTTGAAAAAGAGAATAAAAACCTGAAGATAAAAATGTCTTTTTGCTGACAAAGACAAGTTTGGCTTCCAAAACTGGGAGAACATATAGGGGAGTGAGGGAGGATGAAGTATATGAAATACCTATAGCCAAAAGCTAAGTCAACCTACTTTCCAGCCAGAAAACAAACCTTGAAACTGCATTGCATGCAAATGGCAGAGCACTAAAACCAAAAAGCCCCAAACCAAAGTCAACCAACCTCAACTTCCCCATGACGTGTGTTTATATTTCAAAAAATTTATAGTCACATGGGCAATACACTCGCTGACTGCACAGTGAGTAATCAATCAGCAGTGTGATGAGATGAGTAGAAAATGATAATACAGAAAACAAATGGGGAGAAAAATAAAGGAGAAGATTTAACTGTTCAGATGGAATGGGAAAATCAGATGTATACAAGTATAACAGACACCAAAAAGCAGCAGTTGTAAAGTTGTGAACGCAAACAGTTAAGGATGCATACTGTTCAGAAAAGAAAAATGGTTTACATGTCCCTAATGGTAAAAAAAAAAAAAAAAAAAAAAAAAAAAAAAAGAAGTCTTAATGAGAACTGTATTATTTGGGAATATTTTGATTTAAAGACCAAAGAATACATGTTGCTAATGTACTTCAACAATAGTGCCCAAATGTTCCAGGACATGAAAGCAAGAATTCCTGGGTCAGCTATTCACTGACCAAGTGATGCTTTAGACACTTTTGGCAAGTAATAAAAACACAACAAAGGGCAGATTGTAAAACCAAAAACCACCACAAACAAGGAAAAATCCCTAAAGGACCACAAAAACATCACAAACACACACCAGCCTTGGATCAAGTGATTATGAATTAATGTCATTTAAATCAACAGAAGAACAAAGTAACTCATTAATGCTTTAGAAACATGATAATCTAGCTGGGCTGGTTATGTATAATTTTTTTCTGCAATCCACTTTTTTTTATTTTTGGATACCCACTTCTTAAAATGTACTGTTTTTAAACTGAAGTGTCCTATGTGTAATTTGTTACGAGCCACTGAAGAAGGTATATACTGCTCTTTATTTTACAGGTAAGAAAAGCAGAGGCCAATGAGTGAAGCTAGTTGTTTGAGGCCACACACCTTTATTGTTATCTAATTCTTTGTGGGGTGAGAGTGTTTAGGCCTTTTTCATCCACAGCACTACTTGTGTAAGCTGCAAAAGCATTTTAAATAGGATCATTAAAGAAAGACTACTGTTTCATAATCTAGCTTGTAGAACAAAAAGATCCGGACAAGATGGCAACAAAAGCTTACCTGATCAACAATGGAAAGATGTCGAGCTTCTTCTAGTTTTGTATGTAGAATGGGGTTTGGATGTACAGCTTCAGGAGACAAATATGGCCTGTACCCAGACAGCAGGTACGAAAGACAAATTCCTGAAGGTCCATTTCCTAATAAAGAAAGAAGTAACTGTTTTAGAAACTCTAGGTTATTGACAGTTTTAGTAAGTACTGAAATCTTTTTGCTGCTTATTCGATGAAAGTAGTATAATGCAACACCATTTGATTCAAAGCACCTTATAATCCTCATAGGAAAATAAAGCCTGACACAGGAATTTCCTCCAAATAAGCCAAGCACAATCTTTTTCAGGTAAGAAATGTATGTATGACCGTTTTACACTATGAAAAAAATGCACATAAAGTGATTTAGTAATTCAGTATGTCAGATTCACTGTTCTGGTGTGAAAATGATCTGATGGAAGGGATCTGCTCTACATGTCAATCACAGTAATACCTGAGTATTGCTACCGCCTTACAACTTTGTGTTCCCACTTCCACTATATACCGTAAGACACAAAAGAAAGACAACCTGGAGTATGCACTCTTTAGGTCTACCCATAAAATAAAAAGAAGAAAAAAGCAGAAAGCTGTAGATGGTGTAAGTCAGCACAAGAAATTATATATACAGCATAAGGTAAAAACATAGTAGATGTAGTAAAGTACAAGAAACGTTTAAAACCATATTCAGCAGTATGTTTAAGAGCAACAATATAAATTCAAGCTTTCTATATCCCCTTCATTTTATAGCTTTTTACAATTCATTTATGTGAATTATTGTAATTTTAATAGGCTAACCTACTTTCAAATGGTTATTAAAGCTGTGAAATGGATGGAACCAAAATGTTACTGTACGGTAAATATTTCTATTTGTTTGACTAGTATTAGACAAAGCAGGGGATCACATTTTAACGTGTGAATATAGAAATAATGTTCATGTTGCAAGGTCAAATATTAAAATCTAGGGAAAGCTTATGTCATAAAAGAATACTTAAGTTCTGCAGAATAGCACAAGCGACTCTGAACTGGTATTTCTATCGCTCCTCTTCCTCATTAACTGAATGAAAAGCACAGTGTTCTCCTAATGAGGCGCTATTCAGTATTTTGCATTTGTTTTCCATCTAGAGTGGCATGCATGGTATTTACTACATGCTATTCAAATTCTAGGCTAAAGTTAGCCATTTATTCATGCTTTTATATAGCACTCATTGTTAGGATGCTAGCTTTTATTTCCTGTCATTCCAACTCTTGATCTCTAGAGTTCACCCTTTGCCTCCTGTTCCCCATTATCTCTGGGCACATTGTTTCCATCTTCTGTTCCCAGTCCCACTTCAATGCCTGTCTCTTCATTTTTCTGATTTTTCAGTCCTCAAATTCCCCAACAGTTTGCTCAAACCATGTTTCACCTGTCCATGAGAAGAAGGCTTACTAACAGGTGAAGTCAAAGGCTGATTCTTCTAGTCAGCGTTCAGTGAAGATGTTTTTCCATGAGCCTAGAACCTGCACTACTATGGGAGGCTGCAGTGTGCCTTAAAGGCTCTTACACCAACCTATTTTATGCACCAGTACATGGATGCGGAAGTGCCTGTGCAGTGTAAGAGCCATAAGGCAAAGAAGGAAAGCTGTGGTTTTCCACCACAGGGATCTTCAAGCTGCTATTTATTGTTATACACCAAAACTAAAAGCAAACAATCAACTTCAAACATAATTGCACAGACTTGTCATTCAGATGAAAAATTAAGACTATATTGTGTTTACACAGTAATGATCAAAACCAGTGCAGATGACAAAGTTTAGCACAGAATATCTTTTAGAGTTAGCACTCTAGCATCAAATTCTAGAATTTCAAGTCATTCAAATACAATTTACCAGTTTCTTCCCAATTTCTTGAGCAAAAGAAGTACAAGCCAGAAGCTACTTATAATTATCAGAGTAGCTTAGTACTCTTTACAGAACTACAATGCACTACAGAGCACAAGTTTAAGAATTGTATCTTAAACTAGTCATCATACAGGGGAGAAACAGAATGGTAAAGATGGTAAAGGGCAATAGAAGCCTTGTTCCACGGTGAGGTTGATTTATTACACATGCCATCTTTTTTCCATCTAATTACTGAAATAGCACAACAAGGACATCGCACTAGGAAGCTCAAATAAGGAACGTTTAACTCCAGCTACATAGGAATAGCACAGAGAAGATTAAACCAGTAGAGACTGCATTGGTGTGCATACACGTATGTATGAGGGACACATACACAACTCTTTGTGTGGTTCTACTACAATATTAAGACCCATTTAGATCCCTTCTAAGGCTTCTTCAGACAGCCAAACTTGGGATAGCAGGCTGCCCACGGAGATCAACCTGAGAAACTTCTCAAATGCATCTGTGAAACACCATTTGGGTAATGTATTTGTGTTTTTTACACACACACACACCTCAAGCAGATATAGTCAAGGCAGCTGTGTTTGGTACCAGCACATAGGAAAGCGTTCTAGGCAAAATAAGTATTGAGCACAGGTATTTGCATAACTTGTATTTGCAAAACTAAACAGTGAAAACTGAGTCATTAGCCATATGGCAAACCTATACTAAGGTTGATGAAATGCCAGGAAACTGTTGCTCTTCAATTATGATGCAGAACTCAGCAAGTGATTCACGTCTGTCACATCCACGTAAATGCGTTACATGAGCACTATTTTGAGCTGTCATGGAGAGCTTTGAGAACAGGCACTGTACAAACACCAGCCTTTCAAAGCTGAAGAGATTTACTGTGAACACATTGTGTCGAAACATTATTCTCTGGAATCTCTGCTTGTTTGCAGGTACAATTCAAGCTGTTGGTTTGCTTCAGTACCAACAGCTTTGAACTAGATTACTGAAAACCTCTTTTACTTCAGATCTTTTCTTTATCCTTTCATTGAGTCATGGCAGTAAGGAGCTGGTGAACAGCTGTTGCTGAAAAACCTTGGCCCAATACAAGTCACCCTGGCAGTCTCAATTATGCTGCGTACCTAGGGAGCCTGCTCTACTCTGCTGTGCTGTCATTCAGCAAGATTTTACAAGTACAAGCCTTTAGCTATTTAATCAAGACAATGTGCATTGCTCTTAACTGGTTGAGCTGACACAGATTCGTTTTGGAAAAGATGGGACAACTTTCAGATGTCAGTGATGGATGCAACAGCAAAATACAACTAACGAACAAGGTTAGCGTTTAACCAATACACAGCACACATTTCACATTATGCTTTTGACTGTTTGTGTGACTCCACAAGTTTCTATCATTGCAACATCAACAGTCACCATGCAACCCGATGTAGACATGGTATCGTGTTAATCAAGCCCTACATTATCAATGCTAGGATCAAAACAGTTCTTCTGTTAAGACTCATGTATCTGCTGCCAAATAACACAGCTCACTTTGCCAAGTCACCATCTGAATTAAAATACACTCCGGTAGCAAGACTTTTAATATAATTTGATGTCACTGTTAATCATAACAACTTTATTTCTCTAATGAACTTCTTCACTGTAAGTACATTAAGCATTATTTATTTTATGATAAATGACTTCATGCAGCAGGTTTATAAAGGCAACGGCAGTGACACAATTTCAAGAGTTAACAAAACAACTTACCTATTATTACTACAGGCAGAGTAAGGAGAGAGTCCCCAGGCAGAACAGTTTCTTCTATTAAAGGCATTCTTTTAATCTTCCTCCCAAGGCTGTCACCAAAATACTGGACGAAGGAATTCAAAAGCTGTCCTTCAGTTTCAGGGCTGCTGTAATTTCTAATTAACAAGGACAGATGGAAGAAAACTAAAAATGAAACAGTTGTAGTCGGAACAATTTCTTCAAAAATAAAGTTGCTTTTGACACTTTATTTGAAGAGCTACAGAATTAATGAAAACAAGACTAAAACAGATATGCTTCATCCAATCCACAAAATTTTTTACTCTTCAGCACAGCTTTTCTAACAGCAGATTTAAAATAAAAGTCTATTTTCTCCTAGAAGGTCTACAGCAGGATAACAAAAGGGACAGATGGCTCCACTGAGACACAGATTCCCAATTCGGTTTGCACAAAGCCAGAGTATAACCAACAAGCATTATTTTGATCCACCACGCAGAAAACCTCATTTCTCATTATCCTTATCAAAAGGGGAGGCATACACTGCCTAGCCAATTAACAACAGTAAGGCCAGCCAAAGACTGAAGGAGCAGCTGAGATACAACAGCAGGCATTCACACACCTTCCTACCTGCTGAGCAGCATAGAAAACTTCACATCAACAAATGTTTGGAAAGGTAGAAGTGAGGCTACTCGGAGTTGGTAGAGATTCAAAAATGGAGAGAATTGAAATTCCTACAAACCCTAGATGCAGCCTATGGTGTTTTAAGCACTCTAAGAAAATCCTTTAACAAAAGGAATCATCTAACCATGAAGTTAACAAAAGGAATTACTATGCCCCATTCAGGTCAGCTATTGTAGGATAGACTGTTTTCACCACTCGTCATTTTCTTAAGATTTGTCAGCTTTATGCAACACGCACTTGGGTTCCTCTCATAGTTCTTCACTCTAAACATGTTTCTATACTATGAAGACTTGTTTTTGATCATCTACTGCTTATTTAGTAGCTCTCTCTCAGTTCTTTCCAGGTCATTGAAGAAGCACACACTTCATCTGCTTAACTATAAAAGCAAAGGCAAATTAAAAATAATCTGTTATTGGCAGTTATTTTATTAAATCTTCAAAATACAGACTTGACTCCTTGATTAAAAATAATAATAATAATGCAATCTACAAGCCTAAACAGTTTTAATAAGAAATGTAAAGGAATTAACTTGAGTACAAGCACTCTGACTTATTTCCTAAGAATCTACATTTATTAAAGCCATTTTGGAATTTCAGGAATTATTTTCTACATGGGACCAAAAAGCAGAAGCTATCAATCCAACTCCCACAGCCACATAAGTGACGTACTGCCTAAACTCCCACAGCACTGAAAGTTCCCTTATGTATTTCAAAAAGACTTTCCTCAATGGAAAATGGAACTAAAGCTAGAGAGAGATGTAAAGGAATAGCAGCACCAGCACACAGTGAATACAGCTCTGTGATGGTTACAGTTCCTATGAAGTGGGGAAGCTATTCTGAAGTTGTATTTATTTCTGAAGGCAAGTACTCTATATCTGTACTTCCTGCACTACAGGAAAAAAAGTTTGCAAATTAGTGATTTGACTGAATTACCATCACACATTAGCTTCTCATGATAACAGAAATGCATAAAACACAAAGTCCAAGTTAGATTAAATTGAGAAGAAAGCAAAGAGAAGGCATTTAGTTATCATACTGCTTTTTTCATCTCTTTTTTTTTTTTACACATAGGTACAGGCAGCCTGTATTATCTTCCAGCCTTTGCTCAAAGTTATCTAAGGTAACGCTATTCTATGCCTTGCAAAAGAGAGGCTTACAGAGAGTAGGCATGTTTTAGTGCCATTTTAATATACCTCCCCTGCTAGATGGAAGCTAGAAACACAAAAGAAACACTTCAAAACCTCTCTTACAGGATGCATGTGCAGCTTTATAGAATCTCTAACAATAAAAACACTGCAGCTTTGAAAGCTGGCTGCAAACTACCCGACAGGTTTAGTGAAGCTAACCTCGCACAGAAATGCCTGCATACAACACGCGGTTCCTCAGCTATTGTTTTATATTATATTATATTATATTTATATTATATATTATATAATATTATATTATATTATATTATATTATATTATATTATATTATATTATATTATATTATATATTATATAATAATTTTTATATTATATTATATTATATTTATATATAATATAAATTTATATTTATATTTTTATTATTATATTATATTATTATATTTTATATTAATATATAATATTAATATATTTTTTTTATATTATATTATATTTTTATATTATATTATATTTTTTTATATTTTTATATAACCTCAAACTTTATTTTATTTATCTAAACTATAACCTTTATCTTATTGTGCCTATGAAGCAGCAGATGAAGCACTGCTGTCAGGCGCGTGTCCTTCCTTTGTAAGGACATCATAACCCAAACCCGGTCAGACCCGGAGTTAGGACGTGAGTTTGTGGTCCCTGAGCCTTGAACAGCGCAAGCCAGCAAGTACTAGAAGTTTTTATAATATGAAAACTAGTAGGCAGCTTTGCAGTGGCGGGGATTTGGTGAAGATATCAATGCCTCTGGTCCTGCAGAGATGCCAGAGGGCACGGGGGTGACTCAGTGCCAACACCAGAGCTCACTCCAGCTCCTGGTCGAGCCTCACCACCTAACCGCAATAACTGCGCTACCGGGGTTCTGCACCTCGTCGTCATTTTTGCTTTTTAGTTAATTACCTTTAATTGATGCGGGGGAAAAATAAATAGTAGAAAACGCACAGTATACATGTAAACACTCTTCTCCCTTTGGAAGAAAAACGAATTAGCCTTTCAGCTGCCACACTTTACAGCAAGGCACAGCGCCGGAGGAGCCCTTTTCAGGGGGCACTCGTGCCGGACCCCAGCGCCCCCGCGGACCTGGAGCAACAAACGCACACACCGAGCATCCTGCGGCGGGCGGATCACGGAAAACCCGTCACGGAATAAAACAAAAATAAAAATAACCACGGTTCGGCCCCAAGCTCACGCTCCGCGGGGCGAATCTAACAACTCCGGGGCTATTATTTAATTTTATTTCAATCAAACGGCTGAGGAGAGCGCTGCGCAGCGCCAGCACCGGAGCGAAGCAGGAGCCGAGCCCCGGCCCCAGAAGCCGCCCGGGGAGCGGGCAGCCCCCAGCCCCTCGCCCCCAGCCCCTCGCCCGCCCCCCGTCGCCCCTCACCTGACGGGACCGGCCAGGGAGCAGCGGCAGCACCACACGGGCATGGGGGGCGCCGGCGGGGCCCAGCGGCGGGGCTGCGGGGAGGCGCCGGTCCGCGGCTCCCGCTCCTCCTCCTCCTCTTCTTCCTCCTCCTCCTCCTCCTCTTGCTGCTGCCGCCGCCACCACCTCCACCACCACCACAGCGGGCCCCGCTCGGCGCCGCGCCGCCCCTCCGCCCCGCTCGCCGGCCGCTGCGGCTCGCACGCCGAGGGAGGAGCCGCCGCCAGCACCGGGAGGGACGAAGGGGAAGGGATGGATGGAGGGAGGGGAGGAGGGCGCAGCTTCCTCCTGCCGGCCCCGCCGCGCCTCCCCGAAGGAGGAGGAGGAGGATGAGGAGGCGGCGCTCAGCGCCTCAGCGGCGGGTAGAGACCGCGGGCAGGCCCCCTGAGCCCGCAGCGGTTCCCTCGGTACCGGAGCAAGGCGCGGGCCGCTGCCTGCCCCAGCCCATCTCACCGCCCGCCGCCCCTCCTCCTCCGCCGCCGCCTTGCCCGCCCTCCCTGCAGGCCGCCCGGGGTGGCTGGGGCACGGCCCGGTGGCACGGGCACACCTGCGGGCGGTCCTCGGCCCGGAGCCCCCCGGGCGCCCGCCCGCCCTCGGGCCGTGAAATGGCGGCCGCGGGGCCCCGGGCTGAGGGACGCGTGAGGGGTGGGAAGGAGCGCCCCGTGCCCCAGCGTCTGGGCCCGCAGGCCTGTGTGTGCTGACAGACATGTGCGTAGGGAGAGCTGCTGCCGTGGTTCTGCTCGGAAACTTTAAAAAATAATAAATAAATAAATAAATAAATAAATGAGGTGTTGGTGCTCTTCACGCAGATTTTGAATCGGTGGCAGGTGGGGGACATACAGCGAGGAAGGGCTGTGGTGTTCCTGAATTACCCAACGCCACAATGCCAACAGCCATCACCCAGCCTCTCATCCCGTCCTGCGTGTCTGTTTGTGGCACAATCGGGTTTCACGTGTGAAACACACATGGGGGAATTAACAGAGCAGAAAGCTGACTGGATTACAAACTTCCCCAGCCACTAACATCCACCCATGTACAAGTACTTCATATACTTTATGTTATCTACTTCAAAATTTATTTTATCATCATAAATATTTTGCAGCTGCATATGCTTGCTTAGTGTTTGCCTAGTCAGAGTTGCTGCAGTTGGTGGGACCTCCCCAGTCCAAGCCCTCCTAAGCCCCAGTACCACGTCCAGGCAGGTTTTGAATATATCTCCAAGGACGGAGGCTCCACAGCCTTTCTGGGCAACCTGCTTGGGTGTTGAGCACTGTCACAATGAGAAAGTGCTTCTTTACGTGCAAGTTGAATTTCCTATGTTTTGATTTGAACCCATTGCCACTTGTTCTGTCCTTGAGCACCACTTGTGAAGAGCCTGGCTCTTCATTCCCTCCCATCTGGTATTTAAACACATGGTAAGTTCTCCTGAGTGGTATCTTACTCAGGCCCAGGTCTCTCCGCTTCTGCTCATTGCAGTCAGCCTGCTGTTCGAGGCTCCCATGCCTTCCACTGTTTTTCGTAAAATATTAAGAAGCAGTAAGGAAGAACACTCATAACATCTCTGTTTATTTACAAAACAATCATAACCTTTTGCAGGGTTAAACTTGACAATTTGAAATGTTATTTTATGTGAATCTGTCTCCTAAATCCATAATATCAAGACTGTAAAAGGCTGTAGAGTTAACATGCCTGAAGTGGCTGTTGGTAGCTGACAGGCCAGTTCATCTCCAGGTTGTTTGTTCAACAGACTGCCATGCCTATAGTGAGCAAATCATTATTGTTTAGTGGCATCGTTCCAGTTTCCACTAGAAAGGATGGCTTTGGATTCGGTAGATATACGCACTATAAAAACTTGAGGCAAAAGAACACAGTATCTGGGTTGTCCCACTGAGGAAACAGAGAATCTTGACATAAAATCACTATTTACAAAGCACAAAACACATCCAGTTAAACACACTGTTCTTCACATTTACCGAGCAGAGGCTGTCATGCGTCTTTAGACCAGAAATATGAACCTGAAGCTGCTTTTTTTAAATCTGGACTTCCATAAAAAATATTGTCTTCAGGAAATTACTATTTTGTTTGTGTGTGTGTGTTAACTAGATAACTCTCTCTACTTGAATATTCATAAGGTTTTATGAAAATTGTGTCCTCTCTTGCAACAAGCTACAGAAAATATGCAAAAGAAACCTCACGCATCCAGGAAACTAGCTATGGCCAAGAGAAAGTTTTTCAGATGTCACTAGCAGGGTCAGATAACGTTGACTTCAAAATCACCACATTAAGGACGTGTTCAGCTTTAAGTACTGCACAGCATTTGGTCACAGCTTCTTTGATTTCTGCCCATCAGCAGGTCTGGTTCCCTAGAATATAACACAGAACCTCACCTATTATTAGTGCTATTGGTAGAATTAGTACTATTACTAGTTTATGCTCTTCTCTTTGTGGACATAATCTTGAGTGAAGGAGAAAAATAACCACACCTGTGTCCACTCCTACGCCCCAGCATCCTTTTACATTTAAAATTGAAAATGTTATGCTGGACCTTCAGTTTTTAATACAAATGAGGTAGTTTGGAAAAATTGTATTTTAAGAACCCAACAAACAAACACTCATGGAGCTTCTCTGGGAATAGTATTCTGCATAGACTGCTGGAGTTATGTTCCCTTGAAATTCTACATGTTAGTCTGGCTTTCTCAAATGTCTTAGCTAGTTTGTTTGCTTATGTTTGTTTTATGGGGATTTATTTCGAATCCATGATTGCATCAGGATAAAGTATGTTTTTTTCAGATGTAACTTCGTCATAGTAAAAAGGGATTTAATGCTAAGGAAACAACAAAAAAGAGGGTAATAAAACATACCAAGCCATAGCAAACATTTCCACCCATATAGAATCAGTAAGCACGTTTTAAAGGGATTTATCTGCATTTACTGTTCTGTTCACTTCTGTTAGTAAATTCAGTAAGGCATTGGGTGGTAGGTATATTCCAGTTCTTTACATTTTAAATCATAGTAACCAATTAGCCAGTTTAAAGTTCCTGTATTTCACTAACACCCATTATACTACAATAGGTAATAAAATTGCACATTTGTGCATAATTTTTAAAGTCAATTAAATTTAAAAGATCTTTTCCCAAATATTAAGTGATACTGGAAAATATGTGGAACACCACTTTTTTGTTAATCACAAAGTTATTGTTAACAACATTTTTACCATCATCTTCCTCTTGATCAACTTGATTGATAATTAAGTATGTTTAGTACCAGCTTGACACTGCAGAATTCCTAAAAATCCTGTGGGCACATAAGATGGAAGCATCAGAGCAGGGGACTGGTGTCTCATGCCATGATATGTGACATGGAACAAAAGGTCTTCATCCTCTTCAGCAGATGCAGAATGATCAGTGAGTAATTGAAGAAGGCAACAAATGCACAGAAGGCAATATGCAACCAGCACATTGTAACATGGCATGGGAAACAAGGAAAATGCCTGCAATATGTTGGTAAGATTCCTGTGCTTCCACCCACTGCAATATGAGATTAAAGTTCAACCTGGGTAGCAAATAGAGCTGGAAAGCTTCAGATGTCACTGCAGGAGTATGATCAACTCTCTGTCCTGATAAATAATGCAGTATCTCAGTGCTGGAACTCACCCAGTCCAGTTGTCTCATCGATAACAAACTTGTTCCTTGTAACATTAAATGACTGAAAAATGTATGAACTGCAAGGCCCGGTAAGCTACAGTGTAGTGAAACTACAAGATGAGCAAAGTTTGCTGCAAGCCTGTGGCACTCCGCCTAAAGTACTGAAGAAGGACAAAGAGAGATTAGGGAGGCTTGAGGTTATTTGCTCTCCTCTTGTTAAGCAAGATGGCAACTAGGAAAACTAGCAGTAAAACAAGCCTCTGCCTTTCCAAGGGAAAAAAAAATAATGAAGAGAGAGGAATCTCAATCAAGAAGTTCTGTTCAGATGCAACAGATCCTGCCAAAAAATTGAGATTCTTGCCAAGAAAGACAAAGAAAAGACACTGGAACAAGCTTAAAGGAGTGGGTGTTTCTGGGATCTTTTAGTCTCCTGTTGAATAGGTCTTTTAAATGGTTTTCTTCAGAAGTTTCAAAGTGCTAATAAAGTAATACTTGCTTGGAGAATAAAGATGCAGCAAGTTCTATGCCAAAGATTTCTTTTAATAGTACAGATGAATTGACGGGAGTGTCTAACTGCCTTTTTTCTCTTCAGAGAGAAATTTGCCTGAATATCTCAAAGGGGGTCAACGTAGTGTTCTGGGCTGTCAGGAAATGAGAAGAGTTCTGATGGTGCAAGGTCAAAACTCTTAGCCAGTGGTAGACGACATAGCTGTGATAACATCATTAGCACACAGAAGAAAATATTACTGAAAGCAGACTGCCTTGACAGATGGAGAAAGCCTGGAAGATATGACATGACAGACAGATACAGGCATAAATGATCTCTGGAAAATGCTGCACGTGGAAGAGATTAACCACCTGGAGTCTGCTGGTGATGTCAGTCTTCCAGGCATTTAGGATGAGAGCTCATAGATCCAACCCTCCTTGCAAGCATATAATGTTTTATGCTGTGTATTATTGGAAAAAAGTCAATCAAGATCATATTTTGCAAGACAACTTGCTACTTAGTTGGCATTAGATGGTAGTGAGGTAATTAGGGTTTTTGCTACTTGACTTTGGATAAACTGGAAGAATTCTTGCAGAACCTTCTACAAGCTGGTTGACTGTTAGGGAGGTTGGGGACACCAGTTTCCTAAGACAGGAACACTGGCATGGAAACCTGCTTATATACTTGTAAAAAAAAAAACAAACAAACTATTAAATTAGAAAAAAAAAAAAAAAAAGTATCCAGAGAGAAGGATGAATAAAAATGCAGAGAAAGCAAGTGAAGATAACTCCAGATGTTTCAAATACAGATATTACAGCTTTGTCAGTCTCCTGTGCAGAAACAAGTGGCAGCTATTGCCTTGTTCTCATGGCCAAAATTCATGGGGGCAGCTGGCTGCAGTTGTACCCAGAAGGGTGGAGAGGAACCAGTCTGCTCCAGACTACCAAATCACCCACAGTCAGACTCTGCACCAATTGTTGCAGAA